CATAGCCTCCGCTACAGTCACCAGGGTGTCAAGGCGGTCTTCGCTTAAAAGTTTCCCCGCAGAAGAAAATGCCATGTGATCGTGAGCAGTGTGACGAACGGGGCTGTCAGGAGCAAACGTGACAGCAGCAGGTATTGGCTCTGAAATCCTCATACTTTCGATGAATGTATTATCAAACCGCTTTTCTGCTGCCAATTCGCCCGCGTTCTCAATCGGATCAGGGCGGAGCGTGCAGCAAATGTACCCATGCTGCATTTCAACTATCTTGTCTTTACCCTCGACAAGCGTAGAACCAGAGTTGATGAGCGCAGCGTCTAAGTTGATTTCGGCCATGTCGTTTACAATCACGTCAACGCGCATGCCATCCTGATTCTCGAAAATGTGCGAAAGAAGGCTTGTCTTTCCAGCTCCCAAGAAGCCACTGAGCACAGTGACGGGCAACAGTTGCTGGTCGTCGCCCTTTGAAGTCTTCGGAGCCGCAGGGGTGGAATCGTCAGTACCAGTAGGGAGGTTGCTCATACCAATGCGAACACAACTGCACAATTGCTAAGGCAAAAGCGTGGAAAGAAGCGGCAGAATGTGACCCGTAGGACCCCCAGCGGCCACCGCAAAATGTGACAAATACCAACAAAAACACAAAAAAAACCAAAAGGCCTCCAGAAACTGCGATCAACGGCCACCAGAACACAAAGAAGCCCAAGCGGCATCCAGAAAATGCGACAAACGGCCCTGAGAAACCGTAAGAACCCAAGCGGTCCTCTGGAAGTTGAGACAAACAGCAATAGGAACTCGGCGGCGAGCCCGGGGAAGTGAGAAGGGGCGAGCCCCATCAGAAGGCTGGGAAGTCCCCCGGCTTTCTGAGAAGTTTTCTAAGCCTTCCCCGGCGACACAGAAAATTTCTGAGAAGCCCCGAGGGCTTCTGAGAAACCCTGCCGCCATCTGAGAAGGCCTCCTCCTTCTCATTTCCCCCCCTCTCTCGCCGCCGAGGAACAGCAGCAGGAACCCGTAGGAACCCGAGCGGCCTCAGTAAGCTGCGAGACAAATAACCCTCTGAACCCTCCCAGGACAGGAGCCCCAGCGGGCACTGGCAGGTGCGAAAAGAGGAACACCCAAAGCGAACCCATACGAACCCAGGCGGCCATCGGAAACTGCGACGAGCAGGTCCAGCTCTTCCTAGGCCCCCTAACTTCGCGACGCGCACTTATCTTCGCGCCTTCGCGCTCTCGCGCCGCCTCCTTGGAGAAGGGCAGCCGCTCTGGCCCAGACCGCGACGCGCGAAGCGCGATCATCTTCGCGCCATCGTGGGCGACCTAGTCTTCAGAAGCCAAATGAGAAGCCCTCAGCGCAAGCACTGCTTGGGGAAAGACTGAAGTCGAACGGCTGAAGTGCAAAGCAATCGCAACTGAGGAACAATCACGGACCACGAACGACTGGCGAGCCTCGCTTGATGGCAAGGATACCTTCGACAACGGCTGTCGCCTCATCATAAGAAGCCCACGGGGTTCAAATACCTAACACTGTTGGCAATACACACTGCATGTGTGCTATTACTGGTAACCAAGCAAAACGCACAAACACGCGCGCGCACACACACATAAAGACACTGGTTAGGAACGATCACAAAGTATCATGAAAAATCTACAACAACCACCTGGCGACCAGCCAAAAAAGCATCGAACACTTCAACAATCGAACGAGTCTGACAATATAGCAAACATCAGTCTACAACAAACCACAGAAAGGTTATGATCTGGCAAAATAAAACGGGGAAACCCAATCTGTCATAATAAAGCCCAACCCACGAACGTATCCACGTAGACGTATAGCAAGACCGTGCTCCGTAATGCGCACCTACAACCCACAAGTTCGAGACAACGGACGAAGCACTAACACATCACAGCACCCCGCTCGCACAACAGCACGTCCGTGTCACAACTTAACCTCGAACTCCACGAAAAACTGTTCCCCCACATGTGCTGACGAGAGCGAGAGAGACCTAGCGCGGCTTCTCAACGCGGTCCCCTACGGCGGGCGACTTCCTAGCGCGGTTTCACAGCAAGGCTTCCCCTGCCCGAGGACCCCTCGACCAGGACCCCACACCCCACGCCAAAGACCAGTCGTACTGCGCAGGACCATCTCCCATCCAGCCCACGCGTAGGCAAGGGTGAAATAGAGCCGCTCGGCCAGTCGCTGTGACCAACATTTGGTTCTCACAATTGGACGAAACCATACAAATGGAACGCGTGCTCGTAGGCTAACGAATGCCACGCACCGGCTTCCCGATGCAACACTGTGTCAGGTTCCTCGCAGAAGCACCGCCCCCGCCACCGGCTTCCCGATGCAAGTAATTAGATGTTCCTCGTCCTCCTCCCTGGGCAAGCCCTGCCTGCAGCAGCGCTCGCAACTTCGTGCCGTAACAGCCCGCAATCTCAACCGTGCCGCTGCTGGTGCCCACAGTGGCTGCTTCACCTGGACATCGTAGGGGCTGACAGACATACAAGGGATCAAGCAGGGAAAGAGACCACAGGCACGACCATCGCCACCATCATGATCGCCACCACCAACGACAGCGCTCTGGCTCCAGCTTGCCTGCGAAACATATTTGCCAGCGCGCAGCACAGATCCGCCACCGCTGAAAAGTTCTAGCACAACAACATGCTGAGAGGAGAAGCCAAGCTAAGCAAGATGTTCGATGCTAGAGCGATCGTGGCCACGCGCCTTGGCCATAATCCTAAGATAGCAAGGCGTCATAATAAAATACGACAGCGCGCATTTGAGAATATATTTTCTGCTGTCCACATCGGCTTGCATTTCGCTTCGTGAACTAGCACGCGACATCCACGGCTCCCCCATGTCTACAATGGCTCCCGGAAGAGCCGAATAATTCTCCGGAGCCAAGGGTGCAAATAAGCACGATGACCTGGACACGTCTCTGCAACCACTGCTCCCGCACACTGTCACGGACTATCCGCCCTATGTGGAGGAAGATGAGCAACAAGAGTGGGTGCTGCACAACTGTCTGACATATTCTAATTAGCCAGCGCTTGCCTTTGCCAGCTGCACCAGCATGCAATCGCACCGCTGCGCCCGACTCCTGCGGATTCACTAATACAAACACATACACACACACACTTTTGCGTTGGCGGCGCAGAGGAACCTCAGGCGCGGTCGGCAGGTGGAGGTGGCAATCGCGAACGAACTTTGTCGGACGCGCCATGATGGAACAGCCCAGCCATGGCCATGCAGGAAGTGGTGTGGTAGACAAACAAGAAGCTCTGCAAAGCCAACATGCAGCGGCCAAACAAACCCCTGAACAGAAGCTCGACGTGGGTAATCTGAAGCGCAAACAACAGTCTGGTGCAAATTAGGGTCAAGAACCACCGATAGATGATGACCCAAAAAGCGTGCAGCGGCCAGAACTCGAGGAGCACGTTAGCTCGACTCAAAGCAACCAGAAATGTCAGTACAAGTTACAACCTGTAAGCTGCCATACCAGCCGATTGGTGGGGTAACGCTGAGAGCCATGGCCTGGCAAGACGATGGGCAGGGTGCTACCCTACGAATCGGCGACGCAAGAGCAAGGTGGAGCGCTACACCTATACGCCGCGGCAGCACCACAACAGCGGACCCGACGCTAATCCAGCATAGATTGGTGGAGACGGAACGCAACACACGCTGAAACACGCAGAATCGGAGCCGAAACAAGCAAATGAACCATGCCGAGCATCCTGGTGGAAACCGCGCCACCACATTCATACATATATATATATATATACACATACGTATACATATGGATTACAACCATCGCGCGCGCTTCGCGCGCGCTCAGGTTCTCCAGAATCCCAGCTCGCACGGAGATGCCGAAAGCCAGGCGACTGTTGCGGATATGACTTTAGCTCGAATGCGCTGCGGAAACACGTAGTGAAGAGCCCTTTCCTGAGCATGGGGGACTCCAGGAGGACGACGAAAAGAACGAGAGGGGCGGTTTGGAGGTCGAGAAAAGGGAGAAGAGTCCAGGAGCATGACGGCGGCGAAGACGAGGGGCAGAACGGGAAGGACGGGCAGGAGCAGAAGGAGAAGTGGAGTCCTTGAAGACGAACAGCAGGAGGAATACCCAAAGAGGAGGGGCATCCGTGCCCCTCGTCCACGTGTGCCCCTCCTGGTGGCCTTCTGCACATCCTGCCACCGAGCCTGGGCTGTTGGTGTGAGACTCCGTAAATGCCTGTTCGCGACTCTGGGGAAACCTCTGGGCAGCCTGTTGGAAACAATGGCCAAACCTCTTGGGACGCTCTTCAGGGCCTCTTGTGGCCCTCTCGGGTTCCCTCGGGGTGGGGGGTCCTTGGGGGCCTGGTGGCGATCTTCCGAATCCTCTTGTGCCCAGGTCTCGAAATATGGGTTCGCATTCCCCCCCCCCCCACACGAGCCCCTCTTGGGGCCTTCTTGGGCGGTCCTGGGTGCCTTTTGGGCCGTCTTGGGGCCGTGTTGGGCTGTTTCGGGGCTCTCTGGGGGACCTCTTCGGCCGTTGGGAGGCTCTCATAGAGGCCCCTGGGCCCGCGCTGGACGCTGGGCACATGAAAACAACGATTGCGATAATAATGTACGCTTTCCCACGGGAACGGGGCGACTTTACCTCTTCGGGTTCTCTTGAGGGTCCTCTTGGAGCCATCTTGGGGCATCCTGAGGGCCTGAAGGCGATCGTCGGGGTCCTCTTAAGGCGGAGGCCTCGAAATGTGGGTTCGACTTCCCCCCGCGGTGCCCCTGTTGGCGCTCTCTTTGGCCGCCATGGGCGGTCCCGGGCGCCCCTTGGGCCGTCTGTTCCCCCCCACGACGCAGGTGCCCACGGTGGACGCGCGAAGACCAAACCATCATTCTTGCACACTGGCCACCATGGTTTCCTGCCACTACTACGTAAAAGAAACGAAAGGCAAGCATGTTATCGGAATCGTCGTCGTCGTTGAAATTTACTTCATAACTAATGGGCGAACCCACCCCTTGGTGCGAATGTTTACTGCGCGGGTCCCTCTTGGCCCGTCAAGAAGAGCTGAGCCCGTCTTTAGGGGGCCACATGCGAACCCAACCCCTACCCCCCTCAGAAGTCGTGGGGGGTAGGGGTAGGGCTCGCATGTGGCCCCCTAGTCTTAGGGCCCTCTTGGGGCCCTCTCCGACCATGTAGGAATCACCCAGTGGCCACCTCCAGCCCCCTGAAAACTCTCTGGGGCCGTTTTGGAAATCTCTTGTGCTGCTCGAAACTTTTTTCTGGCCGTCTCGGGGCCCTCTTGGGAGCCTTTGGGGCCGGCTGGGACCGATGCTGGGTGCCTTTGGGGCCGTCGTGGCCGCTGTTAGGATTGCAACAGCGAATATGCCAGAAATGTGTCTGCGAGGCCCCATCTTTCACAACATTTTGGGAGCGGAGATCGTGTCTCGAGAAACGCGGCACGGGCGAGCTCGCCAGGCAGCAGTCTTGCCGAAGGCGTGGCAACTCGGGAGATGGCGGCCAACGCTGAGCGGGACCAGCACAACAGAAGAAAAGCTGCCAGAAGGAAAAGTGCGAAGCACCTGAATGGCGGAAGGCAGGCCACGGGTGCACTCGAGACGGGAAAAAGGCGATGGGGCAGCAGACAACGCCGCGCGAGCACTCCAATGTCTGCGAGGCCCCAGAGATCGCGTCTCGAGAAACGCGGCACGGGCGAGTTCGCCAAGCAGCAGTCCTGCCGAAGGCGCGGCAACACGGGAGATGGTGGCCAGCACTGAGCGGGACCAGCATCACAGAAGAAAAGGCAAGTGCCAACTCACTTCCCGAGGCAAGGGTATTCTCTGATTGCTAGCAGTCGCCAGGGCGGCGGCGACGTCACGGCACAAGCCTACAGGACATTGCCCTGCAACCTTCGTCAAAGGTACACGTCTGATTGGACGAGGCCCCGACCGTTCAATGCGCGGCCGCCCAGTGCACGAGCAACACCCACGACCGCGACAAAGCCCCCCCTCGGGATGCTGAATACAATCGGGCGTCGCGTTGCCGAAGAGGAAATGCGCCCGCCTGCGCCATAGTGCGCCGAAACTGTAGCAATCCAGGGAGGCTTCTGCGGCACTCCGTCGAGCCCGCCGCCTCAAAGCAGGTATATTCCACAAAAGTCAACTAACTGTATGGGATCTCCAGGGACCACGGTATCTGAAATTTGTCAAGCACACGAATGTTTCGAAGGGTGGCCCTGGGGATCTTGTTACCACGCCGAAGGGCAGCGTGGTCTTTCTCACCGAAATCCGATCTGTCCGTCACTCCCCAAGGCCGCTCGGGCGTTCGACCGAGACGAGTTCGCATCCGAGCAATTGAGAAACTGGTGCATTACGTAGCTATCGCCGCCACCAAGATCAACCCATGTTTGGCACAACCCTCCAAAAGGCGCAGCACAGCATGGTCGGTAAGGTCAAACCTGGCATCGTATCTTGTATCCAAAGGCGAGCGGCAGACCCTCGATTCGAGAGGGCTCTTCCGACTCCGCCCTCACCGCAGAAGAGGTCCGCGAAGTCGAAGTACGGACCTTGACCCATACAGGCGCGAGAAGCAGGGCGGCCGCGCGGCCGAAGAAAAGCGCATCGAGGCGGTCGCCCGCTTTCTTGAACGCGGCGAATTGCCAAGGCAGCAGGGCCGCCGACCGGTTTAGCCTGGCGGCGCTCTCGCACAGCCTGAGGGGGCCCTCGCACTGCCAGCCCCCCCGCCACTTCAGCCCCATGCGGTCGCGGCGGCGGCCCCGCAGGTTCAGCGAGGCCCCGGAGTGGCGGCACTGGCGCAGCACGAGGTTGCCCAGCTGCAGCCCGTCCCTGGCGCGGTCGAGCCCCATCACAAGCTCGGGCGGCTGCGCGGGAACAGGTGCGAGTCTGGGCGGCCAGTCGCGATCGCCGCGATCGCACGCGGCAGCCAAGAATATATCTTGCTTCTCAAGCTGATGCCCTCGCCCTGCAACTGGCGCTTCCGAATAGCAGCCCGCGCGCCTGGGAAGGGAAGCGCCGCCGAGTCCACGTCATCTTCACCACGGGGCCACGAGATCTCCGCCCGCATCTGCGACGCCAGCCCTTGAAGCATCTCCAGGCCAGGGGGAAGCACGACCCACCCAGCCTGCCATACTGCGCTGGAAGCGCATCAGGGCGGACAGCAACGCATCGCCCCTGTTCGAATTGTGCCCAGCTTCACACAAACCGTTCATGCACTGCACGAGCGCCCCGTCGACCTCGCTGTCCACGACGAGCGGGCGCTCCCCGACGACGCCGATGAACGCCTGCAGCCCCCACTGGCAGCGGCTCTCGGCGCCCTGCCTCACGGCCGAGCGTTCCAGCAGCACGAGGCCAGCTAGCGCAGGCGACGCCCGCGCCTTGGCCACGGCTTGCGCCCAGTGCTTCGCCGTCTGGCGCAGCTGGCGAGTCCGCCTGGCATCGGCCTCCTCGTCGGGCTGGGTCGCGGCGTCACTCTCGCCCTCGGCGTCGCCCTCGCCGCTGCCCGCCGCCTCCCGGTCGCGGCTGCCGACCTTCGTGCTGGACGGCGGCTGGCTCAGCCGCAGCTGGGCGCTGTCCTAAGACGCGCCCAGCACTCGCCCGCGGGCTGCCTGCGCCTCTGGTTCCGCCAGCGGGCTCACCACAGCGGACAACAGCGACCGCGAGCGCTTCGCGGGCCGCTCGGGCGCGCCCAGCGCGGGCGCGCCGCCCCCCCTGGGCCGCGGCGCCAGCAACTGCCTGCGCCGCGAGGCGCTCATCACGGGGCCCCGCGGCGCGGCGCCCCGGGCCCCCGAAACGAACGCCTGCGGGAGCCGAGGTGGGACAAGCGGTCGAGGAGCTCTCGATGCAGGAGCCGAGGCGCTGACCTTCGGCGGCGAGGGGCGTCCGAGGCCTGCTCGAGGCCGACGCAGGGATGGCTCGAGCTCCAGTCGGAGCCCTTCGGGTCCACGTAGGGGCCCCCGTCGTTGCACGGCTGCTGTTGCCGCTGCTTGCTGTAGCGAAGATTGCTCGTCTGCCCTAAGTCGTTAATGCTGCTCATGTTCTCAATAGTGTTCAACTTGCTATGCTTGCTGTGCTCGGTAATCACGTGCTTGCGGTTGCGCGTACCGTTCATCTCTGCATTGCCTTGTCGTAGCAACCTACGATCCACGGGCGTGTTTCATCGCCTTCTGAAACCTCCCAAGAATTGACCAGGGTCCTTGTCTGGTCGCACGTCGGGTCATAGATCCTGGAGCCCCAGTCACTAGGGTTGAGCTCGCTCGGAACCCATCTTACACGCAGCCGCTCGTTGAGGGAGAGACCAAGGGCGACAGCCCGCCGTGCGCAAGCAAGAACAACAAAGTTGTTGGCCCTCCTCCATTCGAAACATAGAACTGCGGGCAGGTCATCGCCCATGCCGACGATGTGCCCAGCCTCCCGCGGCGACAGACTGCACTGAATCTCCACCGCCCGCATGAGGGCCCGCGACTCATAGACCAATATATCTTCCGTCGCGCTGTGCCACCCACGGGCGACCAGCTCAGTCCAGCGGGGTCCCGAGAATTGATCCGCCGCCATTTCCTTGAAGGATGCATCAACTCCCCACTAAGGCTGCGGCGCAATCTCATCGTGTTCCTCAAGCTCTGGCATGTCTACCAGCTCTCCCCTACGAATCATCACGATTCCGCTCATTGAAAAGAAGTGAGCCCGGGCGGAGTGGCTGCCCAGACGCCGAAAACTGGAGCGCCCCTGCACTCGGCCGATGTCCCCGACAGGGGCCATGAAGAGCGCGAACGAGCGGGGGCCACATAATGCGGGGCCACAGAAGGCTACTATGGAGCCACTGAGGGTTGCAACTGGGCCACGTAGGACAGTGAGGGGGACACAAATGGCGACAGCGGGGCCACGAAGGGCACGCGGGTGTCGGGAGCGCGGCGCTTGGGCAAATTGCAAGAAATTCCAACGCAAGGCTATTCTTCAGTAAGTTGCAAGCAAGTCTCCAGCGAGAGCGCGACTCCAAAGCGCCGGGAGAGCGATTCATGAATAAGTTGTAAGAAGTCCCTAGCGAGAGCGCGACTCCTGAATAAAATGCGAGGAAGTCTCGGGCAGGAGCGGAGGTCCTGGCTAAATTGCGAGGAAGTCTCAAGCGGGAGCCGTTGTTGTTGTAACCCAGGGGCCATGGGGCCCAGTTTGACCACCAAGCCTTTCCCTGTCGAAAAACAGGGTGCGAGCGTCGAGGGGCACACTTTGATTGATTGAGAAAAAACAGTATGCACCGGTGGGGGGATCAAAAATAATCATTCTTCAGAAATGAGAATTCAACAACAGCAACAACAACAACAAAACAAAAACAAAAACAAAAACAAAGACACACAATAAAAACAACAACAACAACAACAACAACAACAACAACAGCAACAACAACTACAGCAGCAACAACGGCAGCAGCAGCAACAACAACAATCAGTTTAAGACTGGTCGCGCTTACCTTCTCGCGTGCCATTCAACAAATATCCAAAGCACTCGGTACCCGCCCTTTTCGGCTTCGATCGTACACGCTTAGGCGTATATCTTAGCTGCCACGCGCAGCTTGCGCAGCCCTTCAAACAGGGGAAGAGCAAACGTACGGAAGAGGGAGGAAAAAGGATGGATCACGAGAATAATTAGCAGGAGGGAGACTAGGAGCAGAAAAAACGTGGCAGAACAGGACAGGCTGATCGGGCGGGCAAACCCTAGCGGGCGGGTCGGAAAGGCGGGCCCCGGCGGCCAGGTCGAGCAGGCGGGATGCTGAAGCGTGAGTCCTGCATGAATCGCCACGAAGTCTCGAGCGATAGCGCGACTCCCAAGTGAATCGCGAAAAATACCAAAGCGAGAGCTTGATTCCTGTCGAGGGCGCGGCGTCTGAAAAAATTGCGAGGAAGTCCCACGCGAGAGCGCGATCCCTGCGTAATGTGCGAGAGAGTCCCACACGAAAGCGCGATTTGGGAATAATTGGGGAGAAAATATCAAGCGAGAGCTGTTGCTGTTGTAGCCAAGGGGGCAGCAACGCAGTTTGAGCAGAATAACGCTACAAAATAACAATACAGGGTGCGAGCCCTGAGGGGGGCACCTCAATTGAAAAACAAAGTGAAAAAATAACACCAGCAACGACGACGACAACGACGACAACAACAACACTCATTTTAAGACTGTTCGCTCTTATCTACTCGCCTGCCAATCAACACGTATGCCCCAAACCCTCGGTATCCACACCCTTCGTCTTCGATCGTACCCGAATAGGGGGGGAGATTTTCCTTGCCTGAATTGCACACTTCATGCAGCCCCTACGGGAAGGGAAGAGAGGACGGGTGAAAGAAAGGGACAAGGGGGAGGGAGGAGGATGGAGCACGAGAGCGAAAGTAGCAGGAGGGGGACTAGGCGCAGAAAACACGTGGCAGAACCATACGGGCAGATCGGGACAAAAGACCCTAACAGGCGGGTCGGGAAGGCGCGCCCAGGCGGCCAGGTCGAGCGTGCGGGTTGCTGAAGCGTGCGTCCTGCATGAATCGCTAGGAAGTCTCCAGCGACAGCGCGATTCCCAAGTAAATCGTGCGATAAGCCAAAGCGAGAGCGTGATTCCTGAGTGTCGAGGGCGCGGCGTCGGAACAAATTGCGAGGAAGTGCCGCGCGAGAGCGCGATGTGGGAGCAAAATGTGAGGAAGTGTCAGGCGGGAGCCGCTGTTGTTTTAAATCGGGGGCCAAAGGCGCAGTTTGGTGACACCTTCCTTTCCCTTGTAAAAAACCAGGCGCGAGTCCCAGGAAAAGTACTTGAATTTAAAGAATACAATAGTTACCTGGGAGGGGGAATCAACAATTATACTGTAGAGCTGAGATCCCAACAACAACAGCAGCAGCAACAACAGCAACAAGTGCAACAGCAACAGCAACAGCAGCCGGAACAGCAACAGAAACCCCAACAGCAACAACGAGAGCAACAGCAACGGTAACAACAACAACTACAAGTACAACTACAACTACAACTATAACTATGACTACACCAACAACATCGGCATCAGCAACAGCAACACCAATAAGAACAACGACGACAACAACAACAGCAGCAACAACACCAACAACAACCACAACAACAACCACAAACACAGCAATAACAAAAAAACTACATCAACAGCAACAAGCTGAACAACAATAACAACAGTCTCAAAAACTTCGTCCTCATCGTCATCGCCGTCGTCCTCATCGTAACCATCATCAGCATCATCAGCATCATCAGCATCACCAACATCATCGTCATCAATATCATCATGACCATCATCAGCAGCATCATCATCGTCATCATCTCCATCATCCTCATAATCCTCATCATCCTCGTCGCTGCTCTCCCAAGCCGGGGGACCCGAAGTGACACATGTGATGGCCCCCCGTGCCCCCTCAAACAGTCTCCACCAAGAATCCTGGGCTGGCACGGTAGCATGACTTGCCGCAGGCAGCTGGATATTTTTTGTATATACATATATATATATATACATACATACATATATATATATATATATACATATGCGTATATATACACATATATAATATATATATATATATATATATATATATATGTATGCAACGTATCCGCTGTTCGGAACCTACAGCTGCATCGGGAAAAACACACCGATGCTGATGATTATAAACGCACTGCGCTTCTGATTACGCTCGTCAATCGGGGCGAGGGGGCTCCACTCGCACTACGTCTTGGCAGGGCACTGTTGGACTCCAGCGAAAACCCCAAACATATCCCCGTCTGTGGTCGATACGGGTATCCGTGTGGACATGCCGACGCGAGTGCTGACATGCTTGCGCATGATTATGTGCATGATCATGGCCATGCTTATGTTTACGTTCAATGGGTGCACCCGTCCAAGTAATTCGCGCACTCGTATGTGGCACCTGCGCGGAAGGATACATCACTGACGCCTGCCAAGTCAAATCAGCAGCGCACTCCCGTATGGTTAGCCAAGCATGCTGGCCACACACGTTCAGATCTGAAACATTACTTGCGCATAAGTACGCACGGTGTTCACTCAACAGGCCACGCAACCTTGCCACATGCAGGAGTGCATGAATTGAACGAAACGCGAACGACAAGATCGAAGGCACAGTCCTCGCGAATTTGCGCAAGTGTAGTAGAATGAGCGCCACCAGGGCTCAACACCTCGCGAATGGAGACTTGAACATTGCACAGCACGTCGGCGAAGACGCAAACCATGCCGAATGACATATCACAACAAGAAGCATCACAATGAGTAGAAAGTGCCAGGCACTACGTGAGGACACGGCATCAATGAATGCTCACGCACGACTGCACGCCATTTTGACGGCTGCCTCTGGAGCGTCACTCATACCAACCATTCACGACTACGGCATCGATTTCAGCAACACTGGTTAACCAGGACATGTTAACAATAAGCCTGCACAAGCACGCACGATGCCTCGACAGCGTTATCGGGAACAACCAGTCGAAGGTTCTCCGTCGACAAGAAGTCGTCCTGCACGTAAACTTTAGATTACACACGAACAAGCAACCCGTCACAGTTTCAAAAGTTGAGATAAGAGTACGTAATAATCAGCATACTATCTGGCATGACAAGTCATATCTGTTTTCCTACAATACAGACACAGATATGTATATGCACACGAGTATAGATGTAAACCTGCGCACGCTGTATATACTGCATAACTGTCGCTTAACAGTACAAGGGCACGTGGTACCATTGAATGTTTACAGTTCCAAGCCACGCCAAATCAGTTGGAGCAGCCCCGATTCAAACTGTGTATGCTCACTCTTCACGAACCTTCTTTGCGACCTCCCCAGCTGAATCCAAATCTACGTAAACAACAAAAAACGTTCCCATTGATAAACAATTTCGGTCGCTGAAAATGTGAAATTAGTTGCCGATGTATTGACACACGCATACGTACATTCATAAATAGCTACACATATACATGCATATATGTATATGTACAACACTGCAGTGGTGCTTCGCGCCATGAACCTTGGCCCTTCGAGTTTCGCACGCGGGCGGCGTGCATGCGCGTGCACATGCGCGCGCGAATATGTACATACATGTCATACGCGCCCACGTGCATGCACGCCATACACATATAGACGTATAGATGCCTATAGATATACGTGTGGGCGTATTGATGTGCGTGCATGCATATATATATAGAGAGATATATATATATATATACATGTGTATATATACCCATGCGTACGCATACATATGCATCACGTCTACTTGGGCAAATCTACGTGTACACATATGCATGTCCATATACATGTACGCAGTCGTGGCCACAGGGCGATAACGCAGTGATGGGCTCGCGAGTGCTGAAAGACTTGGGTAGGTGACAGCATGGAGGACACGGCAGAATGTGTAACGGCGACCTGGGCATACCAATGACCGTGTCTTTGGGACTATGGAAAAAGCCGTGTGCGGGCCTTGGGGGGCCTCGGGACCGTGTCGCAGCGGGGCTCGATTATCTCAACGCTGAAATTGTTTTGCACCGCCGTACGCTCTTGAGAGGCCTCTCGTTCAGAGTGTTAACGTCACGTGGACCTTATTGGAGCCTCCCGGAGCCTTCTGAGGGCCTCTGTGGGACGTGGTGCAGTCCCGTTATGGCTTGGGCCCGTCTTGGGGCGCGTATTGGCTCTGTTGGGCTGTCTTCGGGTCATATTCAGGTTCCTGGCCCGTTTTGGGCCTGTCTTGGGGGCCTTGTCGAACGTTTCCGAACTTCTGTGGGGTCCCTGCGGAATCGTTTGGGACTCTTAGGGACCTGTTGGGCCTTCCTGAGGACCTCCTGGGGGCCTCTTAGGGCCTCTTGAATGCCTCTTGGGACCTCCTGGGGCCTCCTGGGGACCTCTCGCGACTGTCAGGTGAGTCGGGAAGCCGAAGAAGGGAGAACTCAAAAATCCCCCACAAACCACGGAAAATCGATAAGTTTTGCCTCGTGGGGCCCTCTTGGGAGTGCTCTGGGAGGCCTCGTTTGGAGCGATCTCGAACTTCTGTGGGGTCCTTGCGGACACTTTGGGACTCTTGGGAACGTCTTGGGGTTCCTGGGGGCCTCTTGGGGGCATCTTAGGGCCTCTCGGGAGCCTATTGGGAGCCTCCTGGGGCCTCCTGAGGCCCTGCCGGGACCGTCTCGGGGCCATCTTGGAGGTCTGTCGGGCTGCGTTAGGGTGATCTTGGGAGCCTCGTGGGCCATCTCGAAGCGTCGGGAAGCCGAAGAGTGGAGAACTCCCAAATCCCCAACAAACCAACGGAAAATCAATGAATGTTGCCTCTTGGGGCCCTCTTGGGAGTGCTCTTGGAGGCCCTTCGGGACGTTGTGGAGCGATCTTTGGGGGTATGACGGCTCCTTCGAGATCATCGTCGACGGTCTTGGGGCTCTCTAGGATCGTTTCGGGAAGAAGAAGAAGAAGAAGCGCGCACCTTCGGCCCGGAGGCCGTCCCGTGAAGGGAGGCGCGTGGGGCCTCAGCCCCTCAGATGTGCCGGAACGTCGGGGGCCCTCTGAGGCCGTCTTCAGGCTCTCGTGAAGTCCTCTCAGGCCGTCTCGGGGGCTGCCCGAAAGTGGGCCAAATTCGTTAGGTGGAAGGGGGGTGGGGGGGGGCGCTTTTTCCGGGTTCCCTGGTCCTATCAAAATACGAATATGAATAAGTATAAAAATATAAAAAGAACGGATACCTATAACTATACAAATACAGATACATAAACCTAAACGTAAATAACTACAAAAACATAAACATATACATTATTTATATGCATGTACATCTGCATATATATATATACACATACATACACATACACATACATATATATATATACACACACGTATATAAATATATATATATATACATACATACACATACAAATACAAATACTGTGACATAAAGATATTCATGCACATGTACATATACAAACAGACACACATACACATACATATATAATGTGTCTGTTCCACGAGCCGCGGAGGCATAGACAACACCGCGACGTCACCAAGTCGATCACCTCCTCGGGCGGCCCCCGAAAGCATAACACGCAAGAAAACACGAAGACACTCCGAATTGTAGGCAGCACCAGGCTGCACGTCAGAGACCCAGGAGCAGCAGGGCAACTGGCGTAAAAAAACGCGAGACTAAAAACTGGCAGCCAATAAAACATGGCAAAAGAAATCATGGACAAACAAAAAACATGGCCGCAACAAACCAAACCAAAACATCCGAATACGGAAAGCAAATGGCACGGGATCAACAGAGGACGCGGGAGCAGCAAAAAACACAGAACCAGCAAAGAACACCGGAACATTAGAGGAAACGGGACGGGACAGCAGGGACACGGGAGGAGCAGGAAACGGGACAGCAAGGGCCACAAGAACGGTGGAAAAAGTGGGAGCAGCAGAAACACGAGAGCGCGGCGCAAGGGAGCAGCAAGGCCACGGGGGCAGCAGAAGGCAAGAGAACTAGAAAAAAAAATGTGAACAACAGGGCTCCCAGGGCAGCCGGGAACACCAGAGCTGCAGAGGAAACAAGACAACAGTGCACAGGAAACAAGTGGCACGCGTGCCCTGGCTCTTGTACGTTTGAAAAGAGGAAAAGCAGGAGGGGCATGTGGGGGGGGGATCGAGGACAGAAGAGACGGACGGGCAGGGGGGGGCAGGGCGCCCTGTGCCGAGCCAGGGACGGGCAGGGACGGGCAGGAGGAGGCAGGGCAGTCTCGTTTCCTCCCGTTCCTCCTCCTCCTACTCCTCCTCTTCTTCGCTTCCTGTTCTCTATATCATATCCGTCCTCCTCCTGATCTTCCGCCTCCCCTTCCTCTTCCTCCTCCTGGTCCTCCTCCTCCTTCCTTTTGATCCCCTCCTGGAGACCTGGGCCTGCTCCCCTCGGCGTCGCGAGGACGACGACGACGACGACGACGACGACGACGAGGACGAGGACGACGACGAGGACGACGACGACGACGAGGACGACGACGACGAGGACGAGGACGACGACGACGACTCGCCGCGCTGCGTCTGGGAGCCGGGCGAGACTGGAGGCCGGACCACCTCGGAGCCGGACGACTCTCCTAGCTGGGGAGCGAGACTGGGGGCCGGACCACCTCGCGCGCGGAATCTGGGAGCGCAGAGTTGCGAGGATGTCTGAAGCGACACGGCCCGGGCGACCTCGCGGGCGGCAGCTCGGAACCTAGAGTGTCGAAGATGTCTCAAGCGAAACCCAGGGGGGTGTTAGGTCCACGGCCATGGGTCGGGGAGACTGGGTCTAAGCGGCGGCGAGAGGGCCAGGGCCAGAGGGGAGAGGTCTGCGAGCTGTAGCGAGGGGGCCGGTCTGCGAGCTGGGGCGAGGGGGCCAGCAGAAGAGGAAAGGACGACGACGAACCACGAAAAGAAAAGGGCCGGAACGAGGGGAGCGAGGCCAGTGCCAGAGGCGGGGGCCGGGTCCAGGGCCATGGGCTGGGGAGGCTGGGTCTGGGCTAGGCCAAGTGGGCCAGGGAGGCTGGGTCTGGGCTGGGACAGGGTAGGGGACAGGGGCAGGGGAGGGGATCCAGGTCCACGGGCCAGTGGAGGGTCTGGGGCACGAGCTGGGGCGAGGGGGGGCCAAGGGGCAGGGCCAGGGGGAGCTGGGTCGAGGGCCAGAGCCAGGGGGCTAAGGCTCTGGCCAGGGGCAAGAAGGCAGGGTTGGAGCGAGCGGGGCCAAGGCCAGGGGACAGCCGGAGTTCAGCCAGGGGCAGAGCGCTGGGGCTCGGGTCAAGGGCCAGAGGTCTGGGTTGGGGCGAGCGGGCAAGGGGAAGCGGGCCAGAGCCAAGGGGACGACGACGAACCACGAACCCCGAAAATAAAGGGTCCGGGCCGAGAGGAGCTGGGCCAGAGGGGGGGCGAGAGCCAAAGGGGGAGGCTGGGTCCAAGGCCAGGGCAGGAGGACTGGGGCTTGGACCGGGAGCTAGAGGTCTCTCTTGGGGCGAGAGGGCCAGGGGATGGGGGGCCAGAGCCAGGGGGACGACGACGAACCACAAACCAAGAAAATAAATGGTCCGGGGCGAGGAGGTCCAAGGCCAGGGTCGGGGCGAGTGGTGCCAAGGGCAGGGACAGGCTGAGTTCAGCCATGGCCAGAGGGCTGGGGCTCGGACCAAGGGCCAGAGGTCTGGGTTGGGGCGAGGGGGCGAGAGGAAGCGGGCCACAGCCAGGGGGACGGGAGAGAGGGGGCGAGGGGAAGCAGGCCACAGCCAGGGGGACGACAACGAACCACGAAATAAAGGGTCCGGGGCGAGAGGGGCTGGGGCCAGGGCCAGGGGACGCCAGAACCAAGAAGGGAGGCTGGGTTCAGGGCCAGGGTAGGAAGGCTGGGGCTCGGACCAAGAGTCAGAGGTCCGGGCTGGGGCGAGGAAGCCAGGGGATGGGGGGCGAGAGCCAGGGGCTCGTACCAGGAGCCAGAGGTCCAGGTTGGGGCAAGGGGCCAGGGAATGGGGGCGAGAGCCAAGGGGACGACGA